GGAGGTGTTCATGTAACTATATGTTCATGGTAGCGGGGAGAGGGGGCGTAAGACAAAATGATTTGTTAGTGGTAATGATAAGTTCACCGTACAAAGACTGAAAACTGTGAACATAAAATTACTCTGAAAAAGCATTACTAACAGTAAATGTTTCTGCCCCTCAGGTGTGGTTCAATGAAGCCATGTTTGCCGACAGCTTCCAGTACTACATCGGCTACAAGATCCCCAAGTGTAAGACTCTGAAGGAGTTCCTGGAGGCCATCGAGGCCCTGCCTGCCGTGGACTCACCCGAGGTGTTTGGACTGCACTCCAATGCAGACATCACGTAAGATACACCTATACTCTACCTACTGAAAGTGCTCACATTCACTCACTATCCGGTTTATTGTCTGTTGTTCCCTATCGTCCAGGGGGTTAGATGTGCTTACACACTGGTGCTGAGGTTCTGAAATAAGTGGGAAGAGACATGTAAAAAATTGGTTGGACAGCAAATGAACCAGGACTGGTTAAAGGTAAATTGACGAAATGATAACAGCATTTTGATTTAAAGAGGATAAAAGGTGATCACAAACAACTTAGGTTTTGGACACAAACACCATCATTATGTCAAAAAATAAGTGTTGTGCTTATAGGCGGTATGAAACCACTGCCAGCATTGAATTGAATGAGGTAGCTGCAGAAATCAAGACTTTGAAGGATGATTTGCAAGATTTGATGTTCCCTAACATCAGAAGAGTGTGCATGTATTTTTGGTTTGAAAGTCTTTGTTCATTGAATAATTCCTATCACGTTTGGCTATTTTCAGGAACCTTAACAGTTATATTTCATACTAAGTTAAAACTTTAAATGTTTAGAGTTAAAACTTTAGATCCAACACAAAAGCTCTCTCACCTAGAGCTTTTGACGAGTCGCTCTGGTCTTCCTCAGTAGACTGACCCAGTGAGGCTTGTCACGTGGCTTGTCTGAAGTGTGATGTCAACACTGGATTGTATTTCATTGTCATTGGTTTCATTCCATTCAAGTTTTGAAAGGGATTATTTCCAATGTTTCCCTACGGGATTATTTCTAATGTTTCCCTACAGGTACCAGAGTAACACTGCTAAGGATGTGCTGGACACCATTATGAGTATCCAGCCCAAGGATTCAGGAGGAGGAGCTGGAGAGACCAGGGAGAGCGTGGTGTACCGTCTGGCTGAAGACATGTTGGAGAAAGTGCCTCCCGACTATGTACCTCACGAGGTAGGACTTTTGGGACCTGTCCAAAGGAGGTTCAAAATTTTATCAGTGTCGTTTGATATTGGATCGTCAATTTTGAAGAGGATTGCTCAACAAGTCTACAGTCCAACTTGCCCAAGAAGACCACTAAGGGGACTAAGAAAATCTGGTCTGTGTGGGCAATTGGTGATGTCAATGGAAAAGATTACTTAAGAGACCACCAAAAAAGAGGTCGCATTGGCCAGGTGGTCCTTCAGTATACAGAGGTGGTCACTTTCAGTGGTAGGTGGTCTTAAAGAGTCAGTGTTTCCTTGCAGGTGAAAGCTCGGCTGCAGAAGATGGGAGCCCTGAACTCCATGAACATCTTCCTGCGACAGGAGATAGATCGCATGCAGCGTGTCATCACCCTGGTCCGCATCACCCTCACAGACCTCAAGCTGGCTATCGAGGGAACCATCATCATGAGCGAGGTAAAGCATACTGGATCTTCATTATACAGCCTGCAGACATATCAGTGAAGTTTGTTGGCACTGTATTTACAAAGATTGGCTCCATAGAATGTACACACAAGATCCAATTACATGTATGTCCTCACATGTCATAAAACCAAGGACATAACATTTCGTCCTTTGAAAAACATTCACTAGATACATGTACGTGCGTAACGGCAAACATATACTGCTACAGTTACAAGAGTTCCTACATTTCACTTCTTCCTTCCTTCATTATCTAAAAGAGGAGAGATGAGTAAAAATCATTCCTGTCAGAAAATTAAAAACAACTTCATATCATCGTAGAAGATTTTTGGATTGCATCCTTTGTTATTGACACTGAACAAGGTTAAGCATACCATAGGCAACTACTCTATACTAGTCTCCAAGTTTCTATTGGTAATTTGGCACACAATTTGACGTTGTTTTCTACCTACAGAACCTTCGGGATGCCCTTGACAACATGTTTGATGCCCGTGTGCCTGCCCTGTGGAGGAAGGTGTCGTGGGAGTCCAGCACCCTGGGCTTCTGGTTCACAGAGCTGCTGGAGAGGAACGCTCAGTTCTCCTCCTGGCTCTTTGACGGACGACCTAACACCTTCTGGATGACTGGCTTCTTCAACCCACAAGGTTGGGAGCACATGTCAATTCTGTAACCTTTGTTTGTTTGTTTGTTTTTTTGCAATAGGAGGTCTTCTTTTAGCAATTGGTCAGCCCACAGAGGACAAGTATTAGGCCCGAGTGGTCTTCTTGCCTGGTTATCAAACCTATTTTAGCTGCCAAGTCTCTTCAACAGGGAGGACAAAAGAAACTAGGCAGCTAAAATAGACTTGATAACCAGACTACTTCTCGGGTAGTTTTGACTGTATTACTAACAATTCCTGTTCTTTACCTATTCATAACTCTTCCCCGTTTTATAATCATTGATATGCAAATTCCATTATCTACTTTGTTTAGTTCATTTATATTTATTTTGCTTGTTTCATGTAAATAATTATTCATTAGTTTGTTATGTAATTTTAAAGTATTTTTATCATTATTGTGTAATGAGGTTAGTTTATATGTTGTTTCTCTTTATTATTTTAGCATATTTTGTCAATGTATGCCTGCAGAGAACATTGAATAATGCCCTAGTGGCGATATGTTACAGCCTTGCTAAATAAATGAAATGAAAGCAGAATTCCGTTTCTATAAACCCTGTCCCTGTTGCCGGGTGTGTTGTACCTGCAGGTTTCCTGACTGCCATGAGACAGGAGGTGACCCGTGCACACAAGGGCTGGGCACTGGACGGTGTTACCCTGCATAACGAGATCCTCAAACAGATGAAGGAGGACATCACCTCATCACCTGGGGTTAGTGCACGTGTACACAATCCCTTCTCAGTGTTTGATAGTCCAAAAAAATGTTGAGTTGCCTGATCTGTGTAATTACTTCCTGATGTTTTTTTTCTTTATAATATAGTAGCCACTGAAAGTTTGACAATAATTAAAATTGGCTATAAAGTACCACTAGTATATAAATTAAATGCACCAAATCATTGGCCAATCAATGGCTCGCAACTGCGAAGTCTTAAAGAGTTCTGGCAAATACATTACATAGTGTAAAGAAGGAGGCAATGAACATGTGTCTTAAATAACTGGCTGCTGCATCACTGATATCTGTTGTGAGAGACCCAGGGTAGGTGTGTTTGATTTGAATTTGAGAGGGAGTAGGAAGACTGGACTGGACAGAAGAGAAGAGGAAAGCAATGACAGTGATATCTGTTGTTACATGATCTCCATACCTCTGATGTGCATTGTTGTTGTCTGCAGGAGGGTGTGTACATCTACGGGCTGTTCCTGGACGGAGCCAGCTGGGACCGTAAGAACTGTCGCCTGGCTGAGCCCCAGCCCAAGGTGCTGTTCACCCTGCTGCCTGTGGTGCACATGTTCGCTGTCAACTCCACAGCTCCTAAGGTAAGGTTACAAACCTCAGCTAAGGGTCCTGGGTTCAAGTCTCGTGTGTCAACATTACTGCGTGGTACTAGTGAGATAAAGGTCCTATGCCTTTGAGGCTGTACGGGTAGTGCATTGTTAATCCCTCTCCTTCCATTGCCTTTTACCTGCTCAACAAAAGTCAGGTACCAATTTTACACCTGGATCGAGTGAGGAAAGCTGTGTAAGGTGCCTTCTCAAGGACACAACTGTTGAAAATCTAACCAGGAATCAAACTCATGACCTCTCGATCTCGTGTCTGCTAGTATATATATAGCCACTGGACCATTCAATACCACATATTGCTCCATAACTGTTGGTTATCCGGTCTATGTATTGATTGATTGATTGATTATTGTATCCACAGGACCCCAAACTGTACCAGTGTCCGACCTACAAGAAGCCATGCCGTACTGACCTGACCTACATCACAGTCATCCTGATGAGGACTGTCCAGAGTCCTGACCACTGGATCCTCAGGGGGGTCGCTGCTCTGTGTGACATCAAATAAAGCAGCGGCTAACAACATACCATTGCTTCTTGCCAAAAAATCATTTGTTTTGTTCTGATAATACAAATCTCCAAAGATGTGTATTTTATCCACAAGTTGTCTTGTTATATCAGTTAACGTTTGAAGACATTCCACCCTTCCAGTTCACTGTTTTGTGAGCTGAGTTCTGGGGATATCTCTTTGCAGTTTATACCATTGCAAAAATGCTGCTTTGTGCCCAGTGTACATGTTATGCCTAAGCTATTTTAGCTGTTGTCATAAAGTTCCAGTACTGCGTTAGCATCTCATTTGTGACTGCAACAGAGATAATATGCTTTAAGACACATTTTTCAAAGGAGTACATTTGATGGTTTAAAAATGCTTTATTACTGGTGACTGTATTGTACAAGAGGACACCGCTTTTTACATTACAACATTATAACATTCAACTCTTCAATACATTGCAATAAATGTCTTTAAAACCCAACAATGAAATAAAATGTTTTCAAAACACAAAATGAAGTGTCTGACTTGAAATCATAATTTTCACTGCTTAAAAACTCTAAAATATGATAGTGACACAATATAATAATCTTTGACCATGAGCACAGCCATGTAATGCATAAATGTAAAATGTCTAACCATGTAAAAAAAAAAAAACTTTTGATGGTGGTCTATACGTTTATGAAGATTAGTCATCCGGGGTTAAATCTATAAAATAGAGTCTCAACCTTATCTACTAGTTATAAGAATTTAATTGTCATGTTTCAAGTGTCAATCCACCACTCTGCATCAGTGAAAATGATCATTTTCAGAAAAGTTTGAAACTCCATCTTATTGATGGTGGACTATGTGCAAAGTCATGTGTCCTTCTCCTGATGAAGCTTTACATGTTGCAATGTCAACACATTCTCATTTCCAACCATGTTTGATGCTCATCCACATTGATGTGTATAACCTACAGTCCCATTGTTTGATTGTCATATGTTATATACATTAGTCATGAGGTATTTTTCCTCTTCATCCCCACCATGGTGTGCCCTGCCCCCGTACTGATCCACACTGGTGAGTAACCCCGGAGTGTCTCCACCACTCTGGGTACCAACACATCCTCCTCACCTCCATCCCCACACATCCCGTGTTCATTCCACCCCCAGCAGACAACCTTGTCACCTGGCAAGGGAAGGGAGGCAAACAATCATTTCAACATGTCCAACATGAAAAGCAGTGCAAGTTTCAACACCTCTTCATAGATGTGTTTTGTCTTTTTCTAAATGGAACTTACCTATTACTGCAATGTTATGCTCTGAACCACACTGCAGCTGTAGGAAAAAGTGGGAATCGCAATTAGAAGATAGTGAACTTAGTCCTAGTAATCCAGTGCAAATTTCTGCAAGTCTGATTTTACATGTAATTTGTGATGTAAGGTTATTTAAGCGGCTACACAGTATCTCTTTCCCCTTTTTGTTGGATGCTTTAATAACTTGTTTACATGACTGAAGTACTGCAAAGTTTCCATAGGACTGCTCACCTGTCTGACACTGGACAGCGATGACAGCTCAGCAGGCTGAGAACAGCTGTGTGGCAGTGCTGTCCTATCCTCAAACCTGCCCAGCTGGCCATAGTCAGCTCTACCCCACGTCCAAACTCTCCTGTCCTCTGGAACATGATTTTTAAAGGTTTCTTTTAGATAAGAATGGAAGTGACACTGGTTGGATGGCTAGATTATTTTCCACTACAGAAAGAAATTTAGACACACATGATGTACAAAAAAGAGGAAACCTACCTGTTATTGCCACAAGATGAGTCCATCCACTTTCAATTTGTACAACTTTCCTCCCATCAAAAAGTGTGCAATCTAATCTGATAGGCAACTGAGCAATGTCCACACATTGCTTAGCAGACGTTTTGTGAGCCACAGGTTTCAAAGAAGGATCTGAAACACTTTCCTGAGCTGCACTAGGTTGAACCTGATTGGCTAAACCAGGTGTAGCTGATACACATAGTCCTTGTTCCTCATTGGCTGAAGCAGGCTGTTGTTGCATGTGATTGGTGGAAGATGATGATGTGTGATTGGATGGTTTGGCACCATGTTCACAATTGATACTGTTTGTCAGTTGGCCTTTGTCATTTCTTCCCCAAACATACAAGTCTCCAGAATCTGGAAAACACCGTGGGATAAGACGGACAAGTTACAGAATGCTTGCAATATAGACATCTGGTGTACTTGGTTGAAATTTTACACGCCAATTCTGATCTTTACAAATTTAAAGAATTTTGTGAAGCCTTCCAACATGACAACAATGTTATCATTAGGATGTGGGACCTAAACTATGATTGATTGTAAAATCCTACATAGAAGTTACATGTACAATATGCTGTTTATTAAGATTCTCAGTTCCACAGCAGCCCATGTCGGACATGCTTTTTAATGTATGGATATGGAACTTAAATTTTCAAGCTCCAGTACATGTATTTAAATAAATGCTACAGTCAAAATAAGTCCTGTTAACTTACCAGTAAGGGCTACACTGTGGTATGATCCTGCTGTAACTGCAACAATGGTAGGGTCTACACCAGATTGTACTGTGAGTGTGAGAGGCAAACAAGAGGCATTTATAAGCTAGCTGCAAAACCTGAAAAGGCTAGCTATGCAACCACGAGACTTACAAGTTCGTGAACCAGAGTCACTTGCATCTTGATGATGACTAAGATTGATTTGATGATTTCAGAATCCTACCTCTGCCAGGTTGTTTTGAGACTGTTGGGAGCCCGCCTCCCTCTGAACGACCTAGCTGACCTCTCTTCCCTGCACCCCACGTCCACACGGAGCCTGTATCTGCAACACAAAATAAACAAACTTCCTTACCAACGATGCAACGAAAATTACTTTATCAAAATCTTCATCAACAATTAAAAATAGGTGCCAAGAGGGAATGCCACACAAGTGCTATTTTTGTGGATATGTCATTTTATTTTTAAAAAATGCTTTCTGCAACTCACCATCCAGTGCCACTGCATGTCTGAGCCCAGCTGCAACACCCACTATTCTCACACCTTGTAAATTCTACTGGGACAACAAACATGATAAATTATGCAGACAACATTCTACATGTGCTTGAACACATGTCTACTTACAAAGTGTTGATCACTAGTGTTTTCAAATGACCAATTCCATCACTGAGACACTGGATTTACACAATATTTTCTAAACATGTATGGAGATGCATTTTTGGCTATCTATAGGACAAAAATCTGCAGTTTATTTTCTATAACTACCTGCAATGTGAATTTGCAGAACAGTACCATCCACCCATCTTACGGGGGCACACCCCAGTTTATTTGGCGTCTCTATTGGAGGCTGCACACCCTCAAATCTAGCGACCGTATCTGGCGTGGAATAATTCGGAATGAGAATAACTGTATATTGGACGAAAGGATATCTCTTCAGCTACAAGACCGGCTGAGTTTGGTTACTTCAACCTTTTTAAGTTTTGGTAAAATCAACGGAAAAAACATTTTTTTCACTCCAAAATTAATGCCCAAAATTGCGAATTTTCGCGTAGGATAATCCCATAGAAAAAAATTTTCCGGCAGAAATGACTGATGCTGGCAGAAAGACCCAAGCCTTGACTATACTCGAGTAAATTATAAAGAAAATTCTAGTACTGTAATTTTCTAAACAGTCCACGGTGCGAGGGGTTGCAAATGCACCCCTACGAGGGCGCAGAGCGAAATCTAGGTCAAACGGGCGGATTACACTTGGCGCGCAAGGATACCCGGAAGTAAGGTTCGGAGCCAAAAGAAATTTTCACCCCAAAAACACCACTTCCTACACTATTCAGCCATGTTAATGTTTAATGACACTTCGTGGCAGTTTATGAGAAATGTCACCTCAAACTTGGACCCTCAAAACCCTTTCGTCACTTTTTTACAACGGACTATCACGGATCCCGGTCGCGCAAGAACTGGGGTGTGCACCGTTACCTGTATGGGAACTGGTGTGGAAGAGTGGCCCTTCACCTCTGGAACACCCAGCTGACCAAAAGCATTGGATCCCCAGGAGAACAATCGTCCACCTTATGTAAAATACATCAATTAATAAAAAAAATTTTATCAATTGATATAACTATGCACACCTGACCAACCGCTTATTGTCTGTCTATCATAGTCGATAAGAACCTTGGCTTCAGTTTCCCGTGTGTATCTGAAGATGAATGTTCAGCCTAATGCTGGCACCAAACCCACTTAAACTCCCTACCATCTCCCAACAACTTCTTCAGAGGAGTACTGTCATTCACTTTGTCTTACTGTACCAAAATTTCACTTTCTGAGAAAAATCGACATGTTCACAGAACCTTAATCTTCACCGTGGCAGCAAGTGCAGGGAGGGGGGGAGAAAGACAAATAATTTTGATAACAGGAATGGTATAGAAGGGACCATGAAAACTATGAACATAAAAATACTGTGAAAAAAGGAATTACAGTAGCCCACCTGTAACAGCCAGAGTGAAGTCCCACCCACAGGCCACAGTGTGCACAGGTTCAGTCAGAGCTGCCACATGGGTCAGTACAGACATGTCCTCCCTGTGGCCCAGCCCCAGCTGGCCCTTCTGGTTCCACCCACACACAAACAACTGGCCTTCAGCTGAAAAATAGTCAAAAGAGCGTGCAAACTGAAGTTGACACATTAATACATCTCATAGTAGTGGTTACTTATAGTGTGGTGTGTACTCATTTACCAGGCAACTATGATAAATAACTTGAGTCATATGTGCAGAGTATTTGAACCAAGATCACTCCTGAAGAAGGTGGACATTAGAGCGACTGAAAATTTGAGGTGAGCTACTTCTCCATGTGTTGCATGAAAATATCAACAGAATATAACAACACAGATGAACTTTCATGATTACAAGGTGTCTGATTTGTCTTTACTCTCAACTGTATTCTAGTTTTGTGATTGAACTCTTATTGTCGTCTGTCACAGATAATTCTGAATAGCAAAGTTCGGTTCAGTTCGAGAAATAGCAAAACTGATACGGAAATACTTAAATCTGCCTCCACAATGTAGAACTTAATTCGAATCAAACATCATGCATTTCACATCACGGTTTACCTCAGAAATGTTATGTTAAGCATATGTGTTAAAAGCCTTGCAAAATTCAGCTAAGCAGGCAAAACAGTCAAGACTCAAAGGGTTGACAATGACATGCATCAAAATGTTATCGCCATGACGTCACGGCCAGCGAGTGGTAGGAAAAAGCGGCTGATCATTAGGAATAGGGTGATGTGCCTAACAATAATTTCCATATGTCTTCAAATAAATTGCATGAATATGATGTACGCAAAAACAGCAATTGCTCGTATTGCAAACAACAACATGACAATAACAATTCACAGTGAGGTTGTGTTACCCGAGATGAAGGCTGTGTGACCTCCGCCACCTGTCACGACCTTGACCCTGAAGTTGACCCCCTGCAGCTGCTGTGGGGAGTGTCGGTCGTCACGGTGACCCACGCCCAGCTGGCCATAACTGTTGGCTCCCTGTAGCAAGTAACAGTGAGGGTCAAGCATCACCAACTGACCAGCCAAATGGGTCTGGACTTTTTGGCCTAGCGGTTAGTGCGTTGGGTTATGAGCTGGCTGTCCACAAGCCAGGGTAGACTGTACTCCTCGCCTCTTTTTAGTAGGTCCCACACCTGGAATCGAACCTGGGCCTTGGTGATGAGAGCTCCAAATCCTAACCACTAGAATTGGTGTTAAACAGAAAAAGGTTTCAGAAAAACACTCAATATTTCAATACGGACTATGAATAATTGGAGCCCAACCCTCGGAAGATGGCAACAACAGACGCTTAACTGGATAGTGAGTGAGTGTGTGAGTGAGTGAGTGAGTGAGTGAGTGGAGTATATATTCCGTTCAGTATGATCATTTTGTTTTTTCTTCTTCCGGTAAATGTCCAGCTGCCGATACCGGCAATAATTGACATGTGTTTCGGACATTACATTATACAGGTAAGAGCCGGTTTTGTTTGCCTATGATTTATTTGGTGAAGATATCTTTGTAACTAACATGCGTGACTGGAAATGTTCATGTTTAAAAAGTAAAACCTTTTACACGGTCAGCGTAACACTAACAGTGTTTCAGTTCGCACAGACATGTGCAAACGTCGTCTGCTCTCAACATAAAACACTTGTCAAAAGTGATAAGCCAACAATTTACAAGACCAAGTAGTACTCACCCAGGAAAAAATGACCTCTTCTTCCATTTTACGTTTAGAAATGGGCCTGAAAACCTTCCCTTTTCCCCAAACTCGTCAAAACTTCACGAAAACTTTTATTTTTCGTGCCACTATCCCTCCATTTTGGGTCAAAGTATCACTTCCGGGGAGGAGCCCCAACTTCCGGTCAGCTGATTTCGCATGCCCAGACGGTCACATGACGCTAATCCAGCCCGCTGATTGGCTGTGCCGGCGGGGAAGCTACCTGGCTGTGGTTTGCTGTGGCGAGTGGTCGATTTCCTATTCGCTACAAGGGGAGACGCGACCAATCACAGGATATCAACCCCGTGTAAGTCCTCCAATTTTCTATTTTCAAAGCCAGTTTTGCCTTGGATTTGTCAGGGAAACACCAGGCGGGAAGATCATGTCTTATTTTGCCCCTGCTCGCGCGCGATCGCCGTCCGAGCGAGCCTTGCTCACCGCCAGCTTGGCGGGACTGTGCGGTCTGCCCGCCACAAAGCCCCCGACCTGCAAGCTGTCATCGCTGATCCCTTTGGCTAGAAATTTACTGCCGAAGTTTCGTCCCGATGTTTAGGAAGGCGTTCATGTGTCTCCAGACGAACCCCAGATGTCATATCTTATCATTGAACCCCCCGATCGCCGCACTTGGCAGCCATAAACAAGAAGTTATGATCGGAATTTTGTGCTTGGCAAATCGAATGTACAGTACAGTACAGAGGCTCCATGAAGCCTATGGTTGGTTTTTGCAAGGAGGTTTTTGTCTGCAGTACTCTGTACTACTGAAGATGGGCACTATGTGTTTCTCTTCTCCCAAATACATGATTGAAGATGGCTAGGTAACAAACCATCACAATAAATGCGTACTATAGTATAGATGCTCACATACAAATATCTGACAAATGAAAATCAGCAAAAGTAAAAGACCTGGTGTTTCAGGGCAAGGTCTTTGGTCAGGGCAAAGCCAAAGGGTTGGTGCCATCATCATCATCATCATTGTAGAGAAAGAAGTTACTGTATGTAAAATGCATTTTCTTTCACGGTATGAGGGAAAAAGAAGTTTTTAAGTGTCAAAAATTCATGTTGATTAATCTTTATTAACTGTTAAACGATTATTATTCCATGATCCAGTGAGGCATGATGGAACAGTTCCAAGGAAATGTGGTGTCAACTGTCAATCAAACCATCACGACAGACCAGATCGCTGCCATCCAGAGTCAGCTACAACAACAGAGGCCTCAAGCTCAGGTACAGCTACTCTCCCACACGACCCAAATGTACACAATGACCCATATGTACACAAACAATGAGAGTTACACAGTCTGTTTGCCAGCTAAGACTCAGCATAACCACAGTGTCTGCCTGCTTTATTCACTTTTCTACTAACATATGCAGACATATTCCTGAACCTCATAATATAAGCACATGGTTTGTACATTTGCCAACCATGTGGTCTCTCCTAAAGTTATTGGACAAACCAAGGACAGTATAATGTCCTTGGAATAACCTTGGTACATATATGGGTAAAATTCACTGACAAATTGTTGAATGCAAAAAGCAGGTGTCCACTTCAATACTTCATTTATCAAGTAAAACACATTCTAGTACAAAAATGTATCAAGATGGCTAAGAAAACCTAAAATGCCTACTTGGCCAAAGAATCTACTCTACTCCAGTATTAGACAAGAAATTCTTAGTATTTATGTGAATATAGAACTGTAAACAGCTGTAAGTTTTGCTTTTGGATTTAATGCAGATGCCTGCATATTTCTAGTATTTGCTTTTGCTTTTCATTTACGTTGTTCCCTTCTGAAAGTTTATGGAGAAGTAAAATTCTTGTCCTTTTCTGACAGGTGACCGTGCAGGCTGCCCAGCAGACATCGGCCAGTGGGGCCCTGACGGTGACCAGTCCCAGCACACCTGTCAGCCTGACGCAGACGGGGCAGCCGCAGCAGCTGCAGCTACAGCTGGGGGGCCAGCAGGTGCCAGGACAGGTGGTACAGGTTTGTACAACTTTTTTCATTACTGAGACTAGCTGCAGGTGAACAGGTGAAGCACTATAGACAAATTTCTCAATGCTTTGGTCATTAAAAAAAATCCACACTATGTTGGACTTTAGCATTAGCTTACAATTGTTTGAATGCAACTTCCCATATACTGTATATCCCCTGTATGTAGGACATTTGGAATTACTCAGGTTGCATTGAACAGCTGACTATTAACCACTATAGACAGAATTCTCAATGCTCAGTGGGAAATATTCAAGGGACTGACATAAAGTGACCACAATGCCTGAGTGACACAAGGATCTGAGTTGATATCAGATCATTGTCAAGTTGATGAAAAAAAAGAATGTAAGAAAAAAAAATACCTTCATGAAAAGTAGCCAGCAGGCTGATTTGAGTGTTACACGAATAAAGGCTCAAAATCGCAGTCAAACAAAAAGCAGCAATAGTTTTTCCTTTCTTAAAGTCAAAGTTTGTGTGTAGGTTTCGGGTGCGCAGGGCCAGCAGGCTGTGACAGCAGGACAGCAGATCATGGTACAGCTGCCCCAGCAAGGTGGACAGCAGCCCCAGACCATCACCATCCCCGTGTCAGGGACCAACCAGCTGCAGCAGATCCAGGTGCTGCAGCCGCAGCAGGTGCAGGTGCAGCAGTCCGGACAGCAGCAGCAGCAGCAGGTGCAACAAGGTGAGGCAGTCGAATGGATATTCTCCACATTCCAAAATTTCAGTAGCCTCATGTTAGAAGATTTACATAACAATTTGTTTCTGAATGTATATAGCAAAACTTCCCATATTCTTCTACTAGCTTACTTCCAGTTCTACATCAAGATATCTGAATTTCTCTTGTATGTCTTCTGGATATTTGAATTGCAATACACTTCAAACATACTGTAAAGTAATTCCTCATTTTTTCACAGTTCACTCTTTTCATTGTCACTTCTGTACCATAAATTTATTGCTAACTGTTGTAAAATCATTTCTCTTATGCTGTTATCATGTTATCATGTCCATTTTTCCCCAGATCGTGAGATTTTGCTACCCCTAAAGACAAAAGTGAATTACTGAAAACTAAAGCATTTAGTACTTTTCTAAATTAAAAGTGGCCATTACTCCTACATTATCTAAGATGTTATAGATGATTCTTTCCTCAATGCTCCTTCTGTTCTATCCTGATTCGTTCCTCCTTTTCTGTCCACCCAGTTGGCCTTATCCAGAATGCCCAGGGACAGATCATCATACAGCAGCCTGTGCAGGGAGGACTGGTTGCCGGGCAACAGCTCGGCACCACGCCCGACGGCCAGGCCATTTTCTACCAACCCGTGACTGGAAATGATGGAACGATCCAAGTCCAGCAGGGCCAGGCACAGACACCTCAGAGTGGTGGGTCTTGGTTATTAAAGAAGATTCTAATTTATCTTGTTATCAATATTTTATCAATATACTGTGTTTGTTACGTCTCAGGTCTGTTATGCCGAGTGGCGGTTATAATACCAGCTGTACAGATACAGAGGCAGAATATTTTACTATAATATTGTAGCTTAGTCTTCAGCTGTTACAAATCTCAGCTTGAAAGTTCCACAGTGTGTTGGCAGCAGTCATTCTGGAACATATTTTAACTGTATTGTCGAACACAAAAAAAATTGGATAAAGACTGGAGTTGAACAGTCAAAAATTTGGTTGATCCCATTTTCGTGTTAAAAATAACAGTCCAAACCTGTCTCAGAACAGTTCCAGATTTAAAGAATATCCTTCTATGACATATCATCCTATCCCATATTCAGGTGTTATACAGGTGCCCACAGCTGTAAACTTGAACCAGAGCCAGGTGCTGACGACCCCTACAGTTGCAGCAGCTGCCACCTCCACCCCCCTGCCCCAGCCCATGACTATCCAGACCGTGCCTGCTGTAGCTGGGACCACACTCAACACCTCAGGAGGGCAGGTGGTCATGGTGGGTACTACACACTAAAGTTAAACTGAACTTTCTTTTACAAATGTCTCTAGCTCTATGACTCTTCAATTGGTAGAAAAGAGCATAAAACATTGTTCATACTATAATGAAAGTTCATCTGTGATGGTAGGTAAGAAGATACACATAAAGGTTGCAAAGAAATAATGGAAATGGTTTCTAAAAAGTTTTAGTATGACCAATACTAAACAGTTCCAGTATAACCAATACCAAATTCTGTGTGGTGCAGGTAAAGTTTGTCCAGTGCAGATAATTTTCATTGTTACATGCACCGGTGCAGGTATGCAGAAAACACTGATCTGAGTTTGGCCCAGGTTTTGTCTAACAATTCTCCTACATTCTTAGCTTGACAACTTACTGTGAACTGTCAAATTTAATAATGTTTCTGTCATTATTGAAATTTGAGTGTACATTGCCTGTGTTGGGAAGGAAGTTGAAAGTTTGCTGAGATGTTGTTCCCCTGTCCCCAGATGGTGCCAGGAGCAGGCGGTGTGCCCACCATGCAGAGAATACCCCTGCCTGGAGCCGAGCTGCTGGAGGAGGAACCGCTGTACGTCAACGCCAAGCAGTACCACCGCATCCTGAAGAGGAGACAGGCCCGCGCCAAGCTGGAGGCAGAGGGCAAGATCCCCAAGGAGAGGAGGGTGAGTGGTACATGGTCTCAAACTGGTGTTTTCTCATTCTCTTATTGAGTGGAGGGTGAGTGGTACATGGTCTCAAACTGGTGTTTTCTCATTCTCTTATTGAGAGGAGGGTGAGTGGTACATGGTCTCAAACTGGTGTTTTCTCATTCTCTTATTGAGTGGAGGGTGAGTGGTACATGGTCTCAAGCTGGTGTTTTCCTATTCTCTTGTTGGGTATCATACCTTAGTATCTTCCTTAGTAGCCTGGGGGCCAGATTATTGCCAAGGTCTGTATACAGGCTAGCTCCTCAGCTCCAGGATTGTCCATGTTCTCAAGGGAAAATTACCTTAGAGTCTCTCCGAACCTGTCACTGGGGGCTATTTACTTGAAAACAGTCTACCATCTTGGTTGCTGCCTTATGGAATTTCCTTGCATGAAGGAAGCCCTCACAAGATGGTTATAGCGAATCAACTTGCTGTCTGATGTGCCAGGTTAGGCACATGAAAAATTAAGGTCTAAGGTTTTATTTGATTTGAAATTAAATGGTCTGTTCTTTTTTTTTTTTCAGAAATACCTCCATGAGTCCAGACATCGGCATGCCATGAACAGGCAGCGTGGGGAGGGGGGCCGCTTCCACTCAGGAGAAGGCTTTGAAGACGAGTCAGGTCATGGGGTAAGTAACTACACCTGTCATCTTTTGTGATTTCTCTGTAAATCTTTGGTTTTATCTCAAAAGTTCTTCTCTGAATTTACTCTGACTAAAGGTTGAACTGTAATTGATATCACAGAAATATTGGATTGCTCATTCCTTGATATAGACTCAGTCAAAAGTTGTAGTAAGTCTAAAGAACAATATTTTTGTTAGCAATCACAGCTCGGTGTTGATTCTTTTGTTGTTGTTTTTTTTGACAAATTGGAATTTGCCAGGAAGAGCATGTAACGTGGAGACAAATAATCCAGTAGATATAATATTAATCAAATCATGTCCAGTTTGTTGGCATATTACCCAAGTACTCACGAACAGAATTTTTTTCCTATGTTGTGTAAAATTGTGTATTGATGCTGTCCACAAAGGAACGACAAAGCAGAGCCTAACCCGTTATTCTTACTCAAGGGGTTCTTTTCACAGACGTCGCTGAACGGCAGCCTGACCACCACGTCCAGCAGCTCCTTCAGCACGATACCGGAGATGCTCCAGACGACCACTTCCACCGCGGCCGCCATGATGCAGACACCCATCCTCCTGGAGGGCGGACAGACCGCCAACATGGTGGGGTTACCCGCAGGCGTACTGGACACAGCCCAGCCTCAGTAGCAGTCATGTCAGCAGAAGTCAAACATACAATCAATCAACTAGTGTTTTTTTAAATTTAAAAAAAATACAAAAACGTAGACTCAGTCCTTTAAACAATTCTCTCACTACTTTTCACATGGAAGTCTAGTGATAAGTCATAGGTACCTTGAAGTGTGTACAGTATTACGTAGTGACCTTGGATAACTGCCTCAAGGTCACGTCAGAAGTTTTGGATCTGTTATCCTATGGAATGTTGAAGAGTTGGTCAAAAAATTTCAAACGCAAAGGTTACGATGATCATAATGTAACACAGAAACACACTTTGATTTCACACTGTTTGATTGGAATTTTTATTTTGTCCTTATGTTGACCTTATTGATATTGCTATACTTGATAAATGCTTTTCTGTAACATTACCAAATTTTTCCACAAAAATCTCTCTTGCGCATGAAATGTCATGTTCATTATTTCAGACAGTTAACTTTATATACTTTCCAGAATTCTGTAAAGTTTGCAGCTTGATTTTTAGAGACACATCAACTTATGCTGGGAGTCTGTTAATTGATTAATGCTAATATTAATACTAATAGATACATTTTACATTTTCTTGTTAACAAAGTAACATTAACGTTATGTATTGTGATAGGAAGCTACATATTTGTCAATTGGTTTTATACTGTAAATAGTTTCAATGTGTTTAGAGATGCTGTAACAATCTAGTGTAGTTTTAGAACAGTTGCTGTGTATTGCACTGAAGAGAAAAAAAATCTTCCCGAAGTGTAAATAAAGCAATACGATTTTTCTCTTGGAGATTGTATGATACACACATAATATTTGTCTCATTGCACACTTGATTGTTTGATGGTTGAGTAAAATAAGTTGAATGACGTTTGTTTCTCTGAGGTCTACCACAATTTTTACATCTGATTCTACCGTTACGTATCCTGTAAGTTTCTTGCGAAATTCTATCCCTCTGTACTCAACTGCAGCTCAGGCAGTAACTCTACATTGAACAGTTACCATCATGATAATTGTATTTTGCACTGCACATTTGCTGTTTTGAACTGCAGTATTTGTATCATATTTTCACACTTCTTTCAATAAGTAAAGTCTTGATACACATGAGTGGATGTTGGTTGTCATGTTTTATTGGGAAGTGCTGTGGTGTGTTTGCCTGTGTCTGAAAGTAAAACTACATATACTAGTAGTTTGTGCAACGCAAGCTGTGGCTGGCAATGATACCACATGTAACATTAGACCACACTGACTAAATTTTATGGATGACATCCTCTGAAGACCCCCAAACAAGTGCGAGCGGGTGAATAAAAAATTCCTGCCCAAAATAAAAATGCCACTAAAGCACAGAAATACAGAGCTGATATTGTGAATTTACATAGCGACTTCTATGACAAGCTGGTATATGCTGGCCTTCTTGAGCTGGTATTGTAATGAGTTCCGTGGAGCTTCAGTAGCCTGGGTACCGTCCTCCATAGTTACAGTTCAACTTACACAGGCTCCGTATTGTCGCTAGCTAGGCACAAGGACTATGAAGGATGGCACCCAGGCTGGAACCTTGGAGGAGGTGATTATTTGGGTTGTTTTGAGAACAGGCAAAAGTCAATGCGCTCTTGGATGTCATCCATAAAATTAAATTGGTGTGGCCTTATGTGACTTTACTTTTTCTTTAGGCCAAGTTTGTCAGTGAACAACATTAAGAATGATTTGTGTCTGTTCTGAGGAGCATGTGTTTCTAGTACTAGTAATAACTGGCCGCTTGATGTCAGCCTTATTGTTATCTTTGGGAAAATGATACATCCAAATATTCTACATACTTCAAAGGGATCTGTCTATACATGTTGATAGCCGTGGCGACTATTGATTCGGGCTTACATTGCATTACCCTCAGCAATAGTCGTGGAAAGATCCATTGGCAGAACTGCACATTTCCCGTTGGCTGCTCGATGCTCCGTTTTTGACCCGGTTTTTTGCTGTCCCGAGCTTCCCTACAATATAACTCCACAATTGGCCGGGTTGCCGATGTTTAGATCAGCCTAAATATTCCACAGCGCGACAGAAAAGTAGTAAAATAGCTAGTCGGCACAAGCTGGCGCCATCTTGGATATAGTCGGGAATGTCCGCTACCGCCGTCGGGAACGCTCGGTAGCCTTTCCGGTTATAATCGGAGAGCTTTCGGTCGCGCTTCGGTAATCGTGACGCTACCGAGCGTTCCCGACGGCGGTAGCGGACATTCCCGACTATATCCAAGATGGCGCCAGCTTGTGCCGACTAGCTATTTTACTACTTTTCTGTCGCGCTGTGGAATATTTAGGCTGATCTAAACATCGGCAACCCGGCCAATTGTGGAGTTATATTGTAGGGAAGCTCGGGACAGCAAAAAACCGGGTCAAAAACGGAGCATCGAGCAGCCAACGGGAAATGTGCAGTTCTGCCAATGGATCTTTCCACGACTATTGCTGAGGGTAATGCAATGTAAGCCCGAATCAATAGTCGCCACGGCTAACATGTTGACAGCTTTCTTAGCTGAACTCCCCTAATGTTTCAATGGTTTGATCCGTTATGAAGATCTGGCTATCTTGTTCCCAGCTTTAGTATTAATTTTATCCAGATTCACTTGATTTCTTTCGGTCATCTTGCACAGTCTATTTTCAAACCTTCTATTATTTATTATTTTATGAAATACCTGTAGTGGGATATCGTGCCAGTCCACTAATTAATAAACGGACCTGGGAACGAGTTCCGAGAAAGGTCAAAGGTAACGTTCTGTGTGGCGCCATTTTTGGAGAACGGTAAAAAAAAGCTGCCAACTGTCAGCGGAAAGGTGAGGAGATATTTTCCTGGTTTCTGATGATTTTGTATCACTTAAGCTACTGAATTGTAGATGGGATTGCAATCATTTTCCCCAGAACGTTACCAGATATACAGAATCGTTGGTATATGTCTCTCCCCGAAGGACAGAAAGAAAGTTTCGATTCCTCGGCAAATTATCTTTAGATGGGGAGGGGGGCACCGGTACCTAGGAATTTTTCATATTTACTGGGTCCTCTTTCCCTCAATAGAGTCTGAATCCTGTTTATTTCCAATGAATATTTGCCGAAAATTGTGAGACATTAGTATGGTGGCTAGAGTCACAAATTCATATAAAAATCAGAAATGACCTGGCCTAACAAGTTATAACGTAAACGTAAAAGTAGACCTAGATTAACCTAGAATACCACACAGATAGCATCAGGTGGAGACTAATGCTATAGAGACATACAGTTGTCAAAAATAAGATCTGTTCAACCTAGAGATGATAGAATAGACTAAAATTGGTCTCCTAAATGTGTGTGTTCTATTTCGTCAGAACTATGGGGAAGAAGACCCAAACACGGACTTCCCCAGTCACCTCGGCAGCAGGGAACTCTCCACCCACTATCCCTGACGGTCCTGACATGAAAGGTCTGTCCCACACCTCCCCACGTGACAGGAAACACAGGAGCAGGGGACGGGAGAAACATGCCGGAACCCAAGAACAGCAAAACACATCCACAAGACGAAAAGCAGCTTCAACTGTGGTTAAAGAAGAGATGGGCACTTCCGATGGCACAGGTGCAGCTGGGAGGGGGAATTCATCAAGGAAGAGAAGGAAGACAGGGCCTGGGGAACAAGGTCAAGGGGACACAGGTACAGGTAGTAGTGATAAGTGTTAACTAGTTGATTTTCATACTATTTTAGTGAGAAGAGTGATGGATGTCACTTCCACATGTCCAAGAGTAATCCCCATAATTTATCAAATACATGTAATAAGAGTTTGCCTTGTCTTGGAATAAGGTACATGTACTTAGACGTACTAGCTTTCTTCCAGGAGGCCTCAGACAGATCTGAGCCTCCTTGCTTTCTTTCATTGCCTACAGTACCTTCGCATTTGTGTGTGTGTGTGTGTACTTAAATAGTTTATCTGAATTTTGTACGAATTTTCCTTATCAAATGGTTCATATATTTAGAGCTTGCCATTTTCAGTGCAAGATGACTCTTTCTTTCAGATGAGAACAATGCTGCAGTAGGAAAACAGCATTCTGACAAGAGTACACAAAAAAGAACAGTAAGAACTGAAGCACATCCAGCAACACCCGGAGGTGCACAGGGACGTGGCAGGGGCAGGAAAAGGAAAGCCCCACCTGGTGGTGCTTGGAGGAATGACAACAATGCTGATAAAACTGTACATACAGGTGATAGTTCTGGATCCAGACCCTCACGAAAGAAAAGACGGCACAGCAGAGGATCATCACCTGCACAAGGACGGTCGTCGACAGAGGGTGCAAGTTGTTCCTCTGAAAAACCTGCAACCTCTGATGTACAGGAAGTTGCAGCTACGTCAAGGACTTCTAGCAAATCAAAGGAAGACAAGAAGAAAGGAAGAGCTGGAAAAGAAAAGGATTCTTCCCCTCAAACCAAACCTTGTAAAGGTAACAGAGCTGAAACCAAAGTGACAGGCAAAGATGGTGGTACAGCAGATATCAGCTCAAGTGCCAAAGGGCAGAAGAGGAAAAAGAAGAAGAGGAAGGGATCAAAAACAGAACTGGGCACAGAGGAGGCTAGAGGCACAAAGACAGAAACTACAGGTACAGTAAAGAACAACACAGAGTACATGAAATTCCTGTAAGTTATTTAGGAAAATGTCCACTGCCAACTCCTGCCTTTTTTTGTGTGTGTGGACCTCTGCAAGGGACATAATATTTCGAGCTGATCAACCTTTTCTAGCTCCAAGGTCTGACACCTGAGTGATGTAATGTTGCACAATTTCTTTTCCAACATTGCCATTGAAAATATAAGTGTCCTTATGCAAGTTTCACCTCGTTAACTGTATTGTATAAGTTGGATCACAAGTTGCATCACCCTAACTTTTTCAGGACTGGAACAGAAAGCACAACATTTTTTTCCTAGGCCTTGTCAAAGAGCAATACAGTGTACATGAATATGAACGTGCATACACACACTGATTGTATTGCATGTCGTCTTTAGCAGAGGCAGTTGAGGCTGAGAAATGTGCCATCTGTCTGGAGGAGTTGACAGACCAGCGTGTGGGAACGCCTGCCTGCTGTCGCCACTCCTACTGCCTGGACTGTATACAGACATGGGCACAGGTATGGAACACCTTTTTTATCATGTTTCAACATCTGTGTGGATGAGTAGTAAGATCCATGTGTAGCAGTAAATGTCACATTTGCAGCAAATAGTACAACACTCAACAGCAGATTTTGTTCCATACTGTAACCAAAAACAAAGATGGTGACAAAACAAACCTACTGTTGGCCACAGATACATCAAGCATGTTCTTATTCCACAGAGGAAAAACAAATGCCCGGTTGACAACAAAACGTTCCATGAGATTGTTGCCCGAGAGAGACTAGGAGGTGCCATAACAGACAGGGTAGGTGATCTGTGTAAACTTCATTGACAAACAGCACGTATATATCATGTATGTAAAGTTAAAACTTTTGGTCAAACACAATAAATTCTCTCACCTAAAGCTTTTGACCAGTCACTCTGGTCTTCCTCAGTAGACTGACCCAGTGAGGCTTGTCACGTGGCTTCTTTGAAGTGTGACGCCAACACTGGGTCAAAAGTATCTGGTAGATGATGTCACGGTTAGGTGAGAGAACTTTTTGTGTTGGACCAAAAGTTTTAACTTTAAACATGTTACTACCAACACAGATGAACTTTCATGGTTATATCATATGTTGTGTTTCGGTAATAATAAACAACAGTAGTTTGTTAATAGCAAATGATACCTTTCTAATTTTGGTTTATGTTGTAATTGTTGTTACTGGTACATCATGTTTACTCCCTGACCCGTCAGATCCCAGCCCCTGACAGAAATGAGGTCCATCCTGAAGATGATGATGACCTGTTCACCATCAACATTGACGGGGAGGAGGTGAACATCTTGGAACAGCTGAACGGGTACTTCCTCAGGTACCAGGAGGGGTGGGACCACTGGGCCGATGGTGATGATGATGATGATGATGAGAGTGGCTGGGTGTCAATTGATGAAGATGGTGACGACAGTGATGATGATGATGTATGTACTTAAAATGTATTTGTTCTATCATTGTATATTATCGTATGTTCATTAGGTACATTGTATGTACACATACAAAAGTCTATATGTACATGTACATTGTTTGATTATACCGTACTTTATCGCAAAGTTGTTAGCCAGGGTACAATTGAGGAAGCCAGTTCAAGATACTAGTAATTTTTTTACTGATATCTCATAAGCAGGTGTTAATTAGGGACATTTTGCAAGATGAATGGTGAGAGAGGTTGCAAACAATAGAGTATTTTATCAAGCAGTACCCTCATCTCCCTGTTTCACTTCAATTACCATCTACCAATGTGAAGTTTGCATAAAATGCTCACCATTAATTACATAGCAAGTTTAAACTGTAATTTTTAATACAAGAATTCCACCACTTCTTTGATGTCACACCCCCCTTCTGTCTGATGGTGTCTACCAGGTTTTCACATACATGTGTACTAGTACATGTATAAATAACACTTTTGCTAGAAATTTAGAAAATTTATTTTCCTTGTATCTGCTGTGTCAGGATGAAGATGATAGTGATGAGGATTCATACAGTGATGACACCAGTGAGGAGGAGAGGGACGACAGTGACGGTGGCAGCTATAGTGCATCCGAGGGGGTGAGCATTTGGTCATCTTTTCTCTTCTTATACAAGCCACACCAATTTCATTTCTTCATTCTTACACATTTGTATAACAAATACAGAAGTGGGGTACATTCAAGTGTTAATTCTGTACCTTTAATGTACAAAAGATGATGCATTGGTATACTGTACCACTGGTGTTACTCCGACAAAAAAGGATGGTGAGTGAAACTGCGTATACCGACTTATTTCCCATATACTTGATGGTGACAATGGAGGATTGTTTTGTCTGTTTTTCAGGACTGGGATACCTTTTTTGATGACAGTTATGAAGGCAGTTATCGCGGAGGTAGTTCTCCCGACCTCGACAGTGACAGTGACAGTCATGACAGCAGTGTGGATGATGATGATGATGATGAGACCCCGTACGGTGGTTACGGTGATTATGGACCACCTGATGACTACAATGCCAGCAGTCCCTACAGTAACCAGGATGGTTCATTTGAAGAAGCCTCAGGTCACGACGATGACCAAAGTGGCGATGATGAAAATGGGGATTATTACAATGATGGCTACAACAATGAATATGGTGATGATGGTTATAACGCCTCTTACGGTGGCTATTATGACCCTGTATACCACGATTCTTTTGAATTTGGTGGCTATGACCATGGGTACAATGACCAAAGCAATAGTGGAGACTACTATGATGATGGGTATGGTAATGACTACAGTGATAGTTATGACCAGGATTCTAATGACGACAGTGATAGCAGTAGTAGTGACTGGTGATACCTGTAGACATCGAATATTTCTTGCAGAAAAGTTTCACTTCTTGGATAGATGGAATACAACCAACATTATATCACTTCTTACTGTCACACATAGCAGAATATGGCCTACCGAACACTGCCAAACTCCCCCCACCATGGTTGGGAGTAATTGTTGGGAGCAACATCGGCTGTGGTTGGCTGGCATTCGGCAAGGTTGGCTACTGTTTGCCTGCACCAACAGTAATACATGTATGGGCAAATACCTGCTGTTACTTGTTAGACTACTCCAAAAGTTCAGCCAACTTTGCTTTGAACCTTCCCCTGGCCACCAACAGTTGGTTTAGTGGCCAGGTGAAGGTTCTGAATGTGCGATAGAAGCTTTAGTAGTTTACTTTTGTTAATCTTTTACAGAACAGTCATGGTATAACGTTTAGACTGCATCACTTTGTTCAACAGTTGGCATAATTAAATGGTTGCAAAGTACAAACTATCTCACATTTTTCTTGTACATGAACTTGAAACATATAGTGAAATGGAGTAAACTTTAGGAGAGGAGAAACTAGAAGTTTGATATTTTCAGATTTGTTGTCAAGTTGATAACAATGTACATGTATACAGTTACCTACATTGTGTAACATTTTGGCTTTTTGTCAGCATTGGTTCAAGCAGCAGAGTGAAACATACTATGATTGACTTAAGTCCAGTGTTCTAGCCAGCCTGGAGTCAAAACAGACACTGGCTGGAGCACTACTGCTTGTATCTTTCTGTCAGCTTTTTCCTCTGAAACTTGAAAGAAATGTCAACTATATTTAAGGAGCTGCCAAATGTGCCATCTTCTCAATTACTTATCAAATGTACACTCTTGCTACTAAAATTTTATGTCAGAAGAAAGATAAAGTTGCAAAATTAGACTTGATGTCTTTTGAATCTTGCTTATGTTTTCTATACCATATTGTACATCCAAGTCTGTTTATAGTAAAGAATTAAAACCACTATCAAGAAGCAAAAAAGACACATTCACAAAAGTCAGAACATAAGTTTTTTTATGTAACAAAACTGTTATAAATGTTATAATCAATGCCTTCAACATAAACTCTGTGTTGCTGAGACTTTCCTCAGTAGTCAGTTTGTGATAGTCAAATGTAACAAAGTTCAGTCAAGAAATAGATAACCTTTGAAAATAAGTTGTGCAGAAACTTGGAAGGATTGGGTCTTTGTGAGTTTAACTTTAAACTTAGTTCAATTTTTTGTCCAAGATATTCAAAGTTCTTCAGTATTTCATGCTTCAGCTTTTTTTCCTTTAGTATTTTCTTCCACCCTTATGATCATAAGCCTAGAGCAATCAATTGTCACATATCGGGAAGTCAAGAAAATTCACCCATTTTCAGCCCAGCAACACAAAGCCTGTGAATGATGTGATACAGCACTTTGGTCAATTGTGTATTTCTGTCCACACACGACTCCACTGTATGGCAAACTAATACAAGCTACCAATTCAAGTGACACTTAAAACAAAGATGCAAAACATTTGTGAAAAGCAAGTTTTCCCCCAAAAAGCTATCATATAATATACACATATTTCTTACATCTAACAGATCTTGTCTGTACCACATTGCCATTTCTTACTTTTTTTTTCAACAACTGAAACATTCCTTTAGTTACATGGCATACTCATAAGGTCATACATGTATATGCTCAACAAAGAGTCCTGACATTACTACATAAACTCTAGTGCCATGTCAACTTTAATTGTCATGATAAATAATATGTGAATAATGTTAATTTATTTATAGTACTTTTATCATAATTTGGCACAAAAAAAGTGTAAACATGTATAATACTCATCTTTCGCTGTAAACTGAGTTTTCCAGACAACATAATACTATGCAATCTGACAGCAGAAATACAACTGATGCATTCAAACTTACCAATTTCTTAACACATAGCACCGGGCACCCTGTACCTAGTTAGTAAGTATCAGATATACTAACGGTAGTACATGTACTAGGACTTGAATCACTCAAAACTGATGTAACCAATCCTAACAATTCCATCATAGTTATCATCACTCCAGTGTTCTGTATGTTGGTTGTCTGAGTGCTCATCTAGACGAGCCAGATTCCCCTGTGTATCGCCCAAATGTCTCTGTCCGTTCACCTGGTCCGTTGGAATAATGAGCAGACCCAGCGCCCCAATAGGCCACTGCAGCCTGTGAACCTTCGTCATCCCAACTTTCTTGGTGGTCATCCCACTCCTCTGAATCATCACCCCAATGCACTGCAGAAAAATCCGCAAATTCCTCTTGGTCATCGTCCTATTGCTACTGGTCATCGTCCCAATGATGTGAACCGTTACCATGAATCGTCATAATTTGACTGGTCATTCCCCCAATCTCCAGAATCATTGTCCCAGTGCCCCTGACCATCGTCCCAGTGCCCCTGACCATCGTCCCACTGCCCCTGACCATCGTCCCACTGCCCCTGACCATCGTCCCACTGCCCCTGACCATCGTCCCACTGCCCCTGACCATCGTCCCACTGCCCCTGACCATCGTCCCAGTGCCCCTGACCATCGTCCCAGTGCCCCTGACCATCGTCCCAGTGTCCCTGACCATCGTCCCACTGCCCCTGGTTATTGTCCCTATGTTGTGAACCATTGGCATGCATATAAAAATTGTGCACATCCCCAATGTAAATCTGACGATTATTATCATCATAATTCCACTCGTCATCCCAGCAACTTTCAGAACCATCATCCCAACTTCCAGAAAAATCGCCCCAACTTCCAGAACCATCGTCCCAACTTCCAGAACCATCGTCCCAACTTCCAGAACCATCGTCCCAACTTCCAGAACCATCGTCCCAACTTCCAGAACCATCGTCCCAACTTCCAGAACCATCGTCCCAACTTCCAGAACCATCGTCCCAACGCCTCTCATCATAACCCCAGTTCCCTGGACCATGATAAACTTGCTGACCATTATGGGGATCCCTCTGATTCCTGGGTTCACTCCTGTTCTGTCCTGCCAGTAGCGGATTGTAAGGCTGGTTGCCAGCTGGTACTACCGGTACTCCATTTCTATTGCTTGTATTGTTCTAATGGTAAAGACAGTGGGATGGAAGGAAATCAATTCATAGGAACTATAGCACCGTGAAGCAACAGTTTTACAGTGATAGGTTTTACTAGCATGAAAATCAAGCTGTGTTGGCAATACATGTATATAGATATATCATATATGTATCATATTCCTGTTCAGAAAGTTGACAGTTGTGATATATGCATTTTGAGGCACCCAAGTACATGACCTCTAAAACACAAAACTATATATTTCAATCTGAATAGTTTCTTTGAATTAATCAACTATGTCTTATGACACAAGAGGTACAATACATTTGGTCAGTAGGACTGGTGAACACACGACACTTCACAGTAATGACATAATCACTCATTTTGGATAACATCTACACAGGACCAAAAGTAAGAAGTGCATACAAATACACAAGAACAATGTGAGTTTTTTGAATAGCTAAACAGATCTCTTGAGCAAGTACTGGATATTGCAATAAACTTGTGGAGTTAATAACAAGATTGCAATTGGACAACACTAAATGTTGTGAGCAATGTGGCTTGAGTGGGCAACCTTGGCCTCAAAAACAAAGGTGATATGTTAAGACTGACTGTGGTGGGTTAAGAGGACTGTAGTATCGAACAAAATGTTGAATGCATCATTCTGTATATGGTGATCTACTGCACTGTTGCATGGGTGTGATGATTAACAGATGTGAGAAAGAAATAAAACAAGTTATAAACTACAGTAACTACAGTTCACCGTGCAGGTTTAGTACCATGCAGTAGCTCTTCACCACAGGGCAGTTACCTTAACCACAGGTATTTTAATATCCTTCCCATCTTTGCTGTACGGTAGAAGTGTCTGGAACTGTTTGTTGTCTATTGGGCAGGTTTTCCTCCTCTGTTGGACAGAGTAAAAGTATAAAAGTAAAACATAAATATCAATCCTGAAAAAAACATGTAACAACATGAGGAAAGAACAGTCATGAGAGACCTAGAGGACATGGGTTTCAGATGGAAGGGAGCAAAAAGGCAAGTGCTGGACAGAAGAGAGTGGAAAGCAGTGTATACAGCAAAAGGTGAGTGCTAAAAAATCCTTTGAGGACTCCTAGCTAGATAATTCTAAAGTGTAAGACAGCCGAGGCCTGGGAAAAAATGCTATGTTTCCTGTTCCCCTACTGACCCAAGAAAAAACTTAATACAAGTGTCCTCATGCAAATTCCACTGTACTGTAAGTGTAACAGTTGGGTCACTAGAGATTGCCAAGTCTAAAAAAGAAGTCTAAAAAAAGATTGCCAAGTCTAAAAAAAGGGTTTCCATGACGACTTGTCCCCAAACCCACAAGGAAGGAACAAGCCCGATGGAGGTACCTGTATTGGGAGAAGTCTTGTCAACTGCAGGAGAACTACTACAATATCAACGCTCAATGTTAGAACATTAAAGGAAGCAAGATGCAGAGAGGAGTTGGCAACCAACCTTAGCTTGTATGAAATTGACGTTCTGGGAATCCAGGAGCACCGTATAGTACACGAGGAAGAAGTAAAGCACGAGGTCATCAACGGTCAACAGCTCATAACTACATCTGCAACCAGAAACCAGGCTGGAGCAGCTGTAGGAGGGGTAGGGATTATGCTCGGCTCAACAGCAAGCAGCTCACTGGCCAAGGTTACAAAAAACACAGAGCGGATACTAACAGCAAGCTTCCAGGGGAACCCAGTAGCAAGTATCATTGTCACTTACTGCCCAACCAACACTGCAGATGAGGATACAGTGAAGGCTCACTATGAGGACCTGGCAAGAGCCATTGAAGCCATTCCAGCCCATAACCTATTACTGGTAATAGGGGA